CAAAATTAAAATAGTGGTTTAAAACAAATGAAAATAAAAACCCATTTTGCAAAGGAGACTCATAAAAAAGTAAACTCTACATTTTGCACCTTAAAATCAATAATCACATGAAATTAGTAATTCGATGAAGTAACTGGGCCTTCTTTAACAAGGTTATCTATTTCTATTGGATTCGCTGTGTAGCTGTAGTGTGTAAACACCTTAAGGATGTAGCCGATGCGTTAAACTAGACACTTTGGCAGGGTAAACTTTGATATTTAGATGTTGTGTTGTGGTTTGGAGTGTTGCAAACTTTACTTAATTATATTTCTCTCCCTTTGTTTATGATCTTGTATATTCTTAGTACATGAGATTTTAACTATATATTATTATCTATAGAGATCATCAATATTATGGCAAAATATTCCTAAATTTTGGAACAGAAAAATTCTTCAGTGGCAACTACGGGCTAGAAGACGTAGTGTGGGCAGCCCGATCGTCGGTCTATCTAATGGAGACTAGGTAGACCGAAGATCTGGTGAAGGTAGCGTGAAGAACCTGGATGCGGGCAGCGGACAGCTAGACCAGTCGATATGGAAATTCTTGGAGGAGGCCTTTGTCCAGCAGTCGCAGGCGTTTGGCTAAAACGAACGACGAACGATTCTTTTATTAGCTACTAAAATGTATTGAACTCACGAATATAATACATATTTAAGTTTGTCTTCTGGCGTAAATTAAAGTTTCCAATCAAAATAACAGCAAATGAAAATAACACAAAACCGCAAAAAGCTTCAAAAACTGAACTTTGAGTAAAATTTAATGCTCATAAAGCCGACAAGATAGAAGAATAAGTGTTATCGATTAAATCTACAAATTATTTCTTTGCAACAGCGAGAGATGGCGCAAAAAACGAATCGAACCGCGGATCGTTCGTCATTGTCAGCCGCCGTCAAATTAGCAAGGTGTCGTCTAGATTGCGCGTCATCGCTCATCGCTGGAAGTGTTCGAATGAAAACGTATGATAACGCTTGGGTCTTATGGGTGATGAGTTGTTTAATGTGTGGTTGAAACAAGGCATTTTCAAGGTTTGTTTGAATCAAGTAAATATCGAAAAAATGAATCTGCAAGAATCATAAAAAAATATAGGTCTATTACCCTGTTGACGCCTCATGACGTAATTATTAATTTAGTTATTTATATTTTGGAAACATTTATAGTTACAAAATTTAAATTAGGTGCAGTAAAATACCACATAAACCAGTAGAAAGAGTAGCAGTAAAATAACAAAGTTAAATATGCCCATCAATTTTGGTTAACCAATTGAAATAATCAAATTTATTAGCTCAGTTAATTCATTATTATCTCCACAAATCCTCCAAACTACTCTCATACATAGGTATGTTTATTTAACAGACCTCCTCCTTTTTTAAGTCCGTTGAAAATAAAAAAAAATGCAATAATCCATACTGTAGAAGAGCTTAACACAATAATTGCGTAGAAATAACTGAGCCATGAATCCTTAAAGAGCAAAATATGATTGCCATTTCTGTCTTGTTTGCCCTTAAAACTTAAGATTCCTTATTATTAAGCTTGTTATATTGAACATAATACTATAGTATCGTGCCAATTAGCATCCTTTTGAACAGATGTTCAATTAAATAAACACGATATTGTTGATTCTCAATAAATTATTGTACCTTTTAAAGATAATTATATTATAATGAATCTAAAGCAATACAATAACCGGTGCTTTTTGTATGGAGTTTGACAGGTTTTTGACATTTGTCAAAGTTAAAGTAAAATGGTGCAACTCAGCCTAAATAATTCAATGTGATTAAGCAGAGAAACGGGTTGGGAATGTTCTTAAGTTACGAAGGACATCAATTGTACTTTATGTAGTTGTATTAAGGTGCAATTTTGCACTAAAACTGTATTATCTGATGAAATAGCTACTTTACTGCGTCAAAAACTTGTTTCAACTTTATTGGAATCAATTTTATAATTAAGGACCTTATTTGTAGGAAACTGTATTTATTTGGTTAAATACAGTTGACCATCTATTGTAACTAAATAAGATGATGCACTATTTGAGCATCATAGAGAATCACTACAGGTGGGTACAAAATAAACTCAGGTATAATTCCTTATCTAATAAATAATATGTATACCTAACAAAATAGGGCATCGCGAACTGGGCCTATAATATAAATAAAGATAGTTGGTTTATTGTTCATAAAGTTTTCCAAATAATATGAAAATACGCACTGGTATTTTTTTCATATTATTATGCACATTCTTTCACTCATTTACCAATTTAAGTAGTTGTTTTTTTTTTCGTTTTATCTACATTCTGTTATCTTAATTAAATTATAGTTGGAACTATTTCAAGCCTTATTAATTATCAACTTGCCTATTACGTGTGCGTAGGTAAATTTCCAGAAAATTGAAAAAATAGAAAAACTCTTGTAGTAGAGGGTAGGAAGAGAAAGCCCCATGCGCAAAGCATGTGGGCTTTCTCTTCCTACCCCCGTTGCTGATCTCGAATATTATTGTACATTTAACGAAATCGACGATAACGATCGTCATAATTCACTTGGTCCGGTAAACCGTGTTCCCGCGGGACCAATGGCTCAGCTCGCCACGCTGTTTGTACGGGCCCGTACAAACAACACACAACTTATACTCCTCGGTCTTCTGTATAACCTGCCACAGCATATGCATGGTCTTTGCGAAAACCGGCTTGTGCCTGGAAGGCTGAAAGTCATCAAACCTACGCGTGAGACAATTCGTGATGTCTCTTAATAACAGCTTGTAGACATGGCTCAGTAGGAAGGGAGATCATCTCCCTTCCTACTGAGCTCATCTCCCGGAGATGGGTCTGTAGTTCTTCAGTAAGGTGTTATCGCCTTTCTTGAAGAAAAACACCACCATTGTTCTGTTCTATGCCTCTGGCACTATTCCTTCGGGTAAGACGGAATTAAAAGCCTCTGAAGGATCATCAGTGTCGGTGTTTCAATCGCGTTCAGAAATTTCGAGGTTATTCTGTCATCACCTGGTGCCTTGTTGTTCATAAGCTGTTCGAGAGTCATTCTAATCTCGTATAGGCTGATATTCGGTATATCTTTGGTAGAGTGTCGAGTTAGCTCAGCTGTTGGGTCTGTGGCTTACATATTAACAGGTTTGGTGACCAAGGTATGCCCGTAAAACCTCTCGGTCTCACCCAGAACCTCGGTCACACACCGTCCACCGTATTTAACTTCGTCAGCTGGCTTGGCTCAATAGAGTTGTCTCTTGCAAACACTTTGGAGCCTTGGTCCGGTAAACCGTGTTCCCGCGGGACCAATGGCTCAGTTCGCCACGCTGTTTGTACGGGCCCGTAAATGTTTGCCGATTACACGGTTATGGTTTTATTAAAAACGGGGGTAAATTAAAAATTTATGTGCGAACACTGGCCTTAGTGAGTGAAAAATGATGGGGTTTCGGACTCTAATCAAAAAGCTATTCAAGTCAAACTATAATGTCGATTATTGCGAACATTACAAATTCAGTTTGTAACTTACTTTAACCATAACTAAAACCATAACCGTGTTCTTTGTGGGATTGACAGACTTATTGACGTCTGTTTAAGTAAGATGGTACAACCCAGTGCAGCCTAAGGCCCAGAACATACGGTGAAACGCAACTGCAACGTAACTAGAAGGCATTTGTCAAGCCTCAATTCTTACTCCTTGACAATCCCGAATTTGTTTTTTACCAATCTTGGCGAAAACTACTAAGTTACAATTTATTCAACTAAGTTACATGAAAGTTTAAAAATAAATAATTTCAATATAATTATGTAGGTACTTCTTAATCCCTTATCACTTATACTTAGCTACCATAGACAGTGATCATCAAAGTTCCAAACATAAACTAAGAATCGTACCTCGTAGGGGACCGAAGTGCCCTCTGACGTATGGGCCCGGAGGGATCATTACTCCCTCCTTGGATTCACTCTAATAGCACAAATGGATGTCTTTTTTTTTGATTAGCTCGTTTTTGTCATTGTTTTATAGTTAATTCGGGTGTTGTAACTTTTTGTTATAAGGATGCATGGAGGCAGAAAGTAAACCACAGCACGTGGTCATGTTCAAGACACAGATAACAGATTCTCATCATCAGTAATACCGGGGAAGCCTGAGTTAGTTAGGGAAGGTAAGAAGAAAATTCTACACGTTCAATGGCCAAATCAAAAGGCACACAAAAGTCTAGATAAACTAAAGTTAAACCTTATGAGTAGTAGGTATTTAGTCAGGTTGGGTTTATTATGTTAGTTGCTTCGATTGGTCTGTAAACTAAGCAGTTTTTCTTGACTTTCATTCAAAACTCGAGGCTCCACTTTGTTATTGCGATTTACCGGAGACAATAGACTTTTCGTCGTCCGATAGTTAAAAAATCGTCCGATACCAAATCGGTGTCATTGAGCGTACTTTCATAACTACTTGTTCCTTACTGATTAAACAGCCCGACCAAACAAACGGCTGACAGAAAGTGTGCAGTCTGCGAAGGTGTCCCAAACAGTTTGAAGACATAGACCGATCTACAAATGACGAGGATCAAAACAATTAACTTATCTACGATCTATCCAACCTAATTTAGACGTGGGCTCCATTACCGAGTTTATTGAGGTAGACATGCCGTTTGACCGAAATACGGCTGGAATAAAAAACCTTACGTTGTAATTTGACTGATTTTACGACTGAACACGCTTTCTCGTGTTGTGAGGACGAATCCACTTCCTCAGTGTCTTGTAAATAAAGAGAACAAGTTTAGTGTGACATGACCAGGGTTCGGATGTTATTTTGCGGGTTTATTAAGGTATTCTAGGTTTTGTATGAGTTTTTGCGCAAGTGTGACGTCCGTATTCACAAACATTACTATGAGGTCTCACAGTGCGCGTGGACGCACAGGGTGATACACAAACCACACACAGAGGTGTATTCAACGCTGTGCGTTTGATTTGGTGCTTCACATAAGTAAGCATGTTTGTGAATACGGGTAAGTCTCAGAGACGTAAACAATGAAGTGTTTGTAATGATATTTTTTAGGTCTGTAATGTAGAATTGTAATCAAAAGTTTTTTCAGTTTCATCTGACTCGCTGAAATGTTATTTTTAATTGTTTTTAATAAAATATAAATACAGTTCACAGGCAGAGTTAAGGCGTCATACTCGTAGTAGTCAACATATTTTTTCAGTGGGATTTCAAAAATAACACATAGACATTTCAAAAACAACAAGTACATTCAATTCGATATCACAATCGCTTCACTACGTTTTCTACTTAAGCAGACGACAGCTGAGTTGACCTCCTGAAACTATGATGCTACAGTGTATCTTGATGGCGGTACAAAATGGCTTGATGGTCTGTACAAAACCATGTAGTTCATGGAATCTAATCGAACAACGAATGCCTGCCTCCTCAGCCACAGCTTCATTGTTCCTTACCAGACAGCCGTTCCAAACGCCTAGACCATTTCATCACGGACCCCAAAGAGGAACAAGGAAACATAATCCCCGCCGATTATCCGAAACGCACTGCTATCCCCAGGTGATCGTTGAACGAATGAGTGAACGAATGAACGGACGAATGAACGGGCGGGCCGGCTAATGGGCCACGTCAAGACGCCTCGCAATAAAACAAAACGGGCACATTATGGCCAGAGTGCGTATTAATCATGGACCTTTTCTACGGAACAGTTTCTTTTATTCTCGTGTTCATGTGAAAAATAAATAAGCATCTATTGTTTGGGATTGCGGAGTGCTTCTGTATTTTTGTAATTACATCGCAGATCATTGTTTGGGTATTCATTTTATTTAGTTTGGTTCGGCTAGTCTTTTTAGGCTATATTGAAATATATGAATTATGCATAAAGCAGCTTATTTATAAGCGCGTTATTATATTTGAATGCATTTATCTAGGTTCCACGAATTTATTGGGAAATTGCAAGAAAAACGCTATTTAATACTTACGGTTCTTCTTTCAATCCTACAAAAAAGTATTTAATCTGCTTAGTTTTAAATTGAATCATTTTTTTTTCTTTAAGCTGATCACTTTGTAAAAAATGATAAAGATAAATACACTTAAATGCGAAGCTAATACAATTTAATACTTAATTACATAAAAGTGACTCCTGAGTATCATTGTAATTAAGATTTTTCATGATCTTATTTTTAATTACTTTATAATTTATATTTTTAAATACCTAAGTCTTACAATGCCAGGATTTTGCTTAATTATCTGTGGCCCTAGTTATCCTAAGCACAACTTAATGTCATATTTATTGTTGTCCTAAAATAATTACAAATACATTATAAAGGCCTTACCGAAACATTAGCATATAGAAATGAATAAATAATTTCGGTATAAATAAAATACCACGAAACAATTCAAAGTGAATTAGTAATTTGAACAAATAACAATTATTTCACTATAATAACCGAGATATTTTGTATTAACCCTTGTGATGGCTTAATTTGAAATGAATAGTCCTAATTACAGGATCGGTTAGCGACTTACGTTATAAGGTATTAGCGGAGCTTCATGGAATTTTCCTCTAAATTAACACATACAATAATAAAATTTATTTTTTACCTCAATCAAGACTAACTAGGGAGGTTAGTGACACGATTGCTTGTGTCCATCATCGTCATGTGAAAGAATAAACTCTAAAATATTTAATAAACTAACAAAATTCTTGATGGGTTTAAATCAAAATCAAAATTATCTTTATTTGTATAGACTAATTAAATTAGTAGGCTTACACATCGTCAAATTCTCGTAAGGAGCCTTTCATGTTTCATTCTTTTTTTGCCCTACCAGCGCTTCGAGACAAACATTTGGCAAGTGCTGAGAAGAAGCACCGCAACAAACTCAGTCACCACTGTCTGTCGGATTTAAAAATTGAAACTCACAAACTCGAATCTTTGGTCAAGCTTGAATTGAGTATATAGTACTAGTTTCAATCCCCACTCTTCTTCAGTAGAGCAGNCGAATTTTGTCTGTGACAGAAAAAGTTTATCGCGCGCGTCCCTGTTTCAAAAACCGGGATAAAAACTATCCTTTGTCCTTTCCCGGGACTCAAACTATCTCTATTCCAAATTTTATCAACATCGGTTCGGTGGTTTAGGCGTGAAAGCAACACAGACAGACAGAGTTACTTTCGCATTTATAATATTAGTATAGATAGTCCGATGCTATCGACTCTACATAATCTTTGTTAAGGGTAAGATAATGTTGATAGCTTTAAACATCTCTTCATCATGAAACTATACTAGTTGTTTAACTTTTAAAACTCTTTTATCTCTGGACACTCTTACTACGTATTTTCTTCTGAATGATTTCGGTGTGGATTTCAAAACAGTTAAACTTTTCTCAGGACAAACTTGACCGTCACTGGTTGAGTTTAAGTGGTCAAGCTATAAGAACACACATATAAGAAGTTGTAGAAATAAGAAGTGGTACTTGTCCCGTAGTCCAGCAGCCTCTGTTTGTGTCTTAATTTCGCGTTGACGTCGCGTAGCAACCACGTCACTTGTGTGACACTATTGTAGTTGTTCAACATTGAACCGTCCCAGTTATGATATTGACAGGAGGCTTACCATCAATACGAGGTAATTAGTTCCTATTTTTGCCACTTCAGACAACACTGAAGGATCCCATATAAATAAGACACTCACAGGAAGGCGCTACTATTAATAGCCCAGGTTATTAGTCCCGATTTTTGCCACGTGACGTTTCAGAATCGCTTGACCATATACGTATTTCGCATTTATCGCTTAAGCAATAAAGTCCAATATCGGTTATCATCCTGAATCAGTGCACAGGTATTGAAATTAGCCCGTCACCTGCCGCGACCTAATTCCGCCGAGCTTGCGGGGTTAACGGCATTCGCTAATTAATATTCATTCGGAGCTAACAATTATGGTTTAGCTGAATGCAGGAAGAAGGATGGAATATGCTTGATTATGCAAGGATTTTTTTATGTGACAGGAGGCAAATTGACTTGAAAGAATTGACTGTAATATACCTCTATCTATAGTAATTTATTACAAATCGTTAATTGATATTAGACAAAAATAACAGTAATCACTGGCGCGGTGCGCAAAGTAAAATTAAGCTTATAAGCTTATAAATAAAAGAAGATATTGAAGACTTTCTAACTAACCCTTTTTCTTTCCGGTCCAGGGTATAGAAACTGCACGGAAACCACGTATACATAGGAGTACGTATGTATTTACATGCAATACCACTTATTCATATGAAAATACAGCAACAAAGTACTCACAACATTTTCGGTACAACCTCACGGTTCTGAAAATTTCAACACAAATTGAAAAACTCAAACCGATAACGGAAACCAAATAGGACAAGTGAAATGCATGAACGAATTCAGGGAATTTACCTGAAAAATTCATTAAAAAAACATTTATGCGAAACAATGACATCTTCAGTTACAAACCCCTACCCAATTTCTGTATTTTGTATTCCGACAGAGCTGTTTGCGTTTTATATTGACATGCAATGGCTGAATTCAATATTTACCTGTCTCCTTCCTTTGTTTAACTTTAGAGAGAGATGTCGCACGTTACTGTTGGTTTATTGAGCTTGTTTTGTTGTGGATAAGTGTTCGGTGAACGTGATACAAATTTAGTCGGTGTTTTTATATTTCCATGAATAAAATCGGTTGGAGGCTTGTAAGTGCTTTCTAGGAATAGTTAAACCATTTCGTACAGTCAACGGCACATCAGACTCTACATTTTTATTGGAAAATCTCACTTATTTCAACAACATGAAATGCCACAGTGTTTAATGTGCTGTCGTCTTTATACGTTTCAGCCTAAATTATTTAAAAGTGATATTAAGTACAATGAGGTTTTTCTCTGAAAACACTAATATTGGTTATGAAGCCCGATGATACAGCTTAAGTTTTCTAGGAAAATTCGGATTGTAAACGATGGTATTGTCGGTAAATATACTTTATAAGTACTTGTCCTATTTTAATATGTAATTGCTAAAAAAAACAATATTACCTATTTTCATAATAAATTAAGGCGATTTCTTCCAGTCAACCAACAAGTAATGTTGCCGAATCGATTTGGCCGATTCTTCATACAAATTAAAATAGGGCACAACTATCGGTCAACTAAAAATCAACAGTGTGCGCCTACTCTAAAGGTTATCTTTAATACAGTCATTGCATTGTCCAGAAGAAGCTCAAAGTTTTACACAAGCGTTTGTATCACTTATTTTTCAGTACATATCTCCTGATTGGCCTGGCAGTGCCAAGTCCGTAATCCTGCCAGTTAAATGCCAGCTACTTGGCACCGCCTGGCTGTAACGAATGCCCATCTGCCAAAATTTTGTTCGCTCGCTACCAAATTGTTATTGCTGCAATCTACCCGTTAAAAAGCGTGTTTATTTTGGAAGCAAAGAGTTACATGGTACAGCCAAAAGCCTATTGCATACTTATTTTTGTTGCAAAATGGAATTATGATAAGTACTTATGATCATTTTACTTCAGTGTTATGTACAAGTAAACCCAATTCAAGATTCCTATAGAAAATTGTAAAGAAATATTTTTTTGATTGTCATTAAATTGTGACGAATTTGAAGTAGGTACATTAATTAACTCATTTTAAAGTTGAAACAAAAATAAATTGAATAGGTAACATTGTATTGGTAATTTTGAACTCAAAATAATAGGCAATTGGCATTGCAATTTTACGCAAACGAAATCAAAAAACGTTAATTTCATAGTCACATATTGACATTGACACCATAACTCCTCACCTTGCATTCATTTTTAACATATGCATTGATCAGGATTGCTTTCCTAGTTTAATGAAATTGAGTAAAATAATCCCATTGTTCAAGGCTGGTGATAAATGTGACCCCTCTAATTTTTGGCTGATTTATATTTTACCAGTACTTAGCAAAATTTTTGAGAAAATTATATTTCATCAACTTCTTTCTCATTTGAATTGGTTTTACCAAAGG